TACTTAGTCTAAACCTATAAGTAAGCATATTAGGTGCGTGTACATTATTTTTGTGCACAAACGTTGTATGAGATATTTGGGGAAATATCTCGGGAAATACGCTCTTACCATCATGTCCGCTAATGACCTGATATAAATTCCTACTATAATGAATATTTAGATTTGCATATTTCCAATCGTTTTCGCGCGTTCAAGACTTTCCTACGGAAAGTTACATGGAAAAACCACACCAGTAAAGTAAGCTATGTATGTGGTATGTTATAGTGTAAAGCGTTCGTTCAGAAGGTACGTGCGCTGTTTCATAGTAACGACGTGTTCAAGAGTGGCATAAATATGCATACATGTGTACTCGTACTAGTGCTATTGACATCCCTAATTCAAATTCGAGCAGGTACATACAGCAATTATCGTAATGTAGCAAGTAACATTGGGTACTCATTTTTGCGTCAATTATATTTGCCTAAATGTTACACTGTTCAGTAAATTTGGGACAAAAATGGTACTGTTTGCGACCTGTTAATTCGTGGCTGCCGCTAAAGTGAATGAAATTTTATTGAACATATCATAGTATCTAAATCAGTTACCTAACACTAATTTATATAGTCGATCTTTTACAGATGACAATTGCATTACACCCAACAACGAAACAGCATCATGCAAGCCCCTTTATAAATGCCCTCAACTACTCGAGGTACTAATTACCCAGAAGAAAGAAGCAATAGACTTCGTTCGCGAATCACATTGCGGATCTTGGTCCAGCGAAACCCAACCGTTCGTTTGTTGCGGCACGAAGTCGTCCCGAACAGCAGCTAATGATTCGTACGATCAAGTCACCGTCCGCGCATCCCCGACAAGGCAAAAAATATCCGACAAAAGATTTTGCGGATTTCAGCACACCGACGATTACTTTTATGCGGGAAACGTAACGGCGATAGACGAGTTTCCTTGGCTGGGCGTGTTCAAATACAAACGTGATTCCGATTTGGAGCAGAACGATGACGAGGATTTTTACGAATTTGGATGTGCCGGAAGTCTGATAAATAATCGATACGTGTTAACAGCAGCTCAGTGCCTGAGGCTAGCAACTAGCACGGTGTAAGTTAACTTTACTCGCGAAAAATTGGAAAGTGCAGTTTCTGTTGTTATTTAGGGTAGCAGTGCGTTTCGGGGAGTATAATATTAAGCACGATGTGGATTGCGTAAAATTTTCGGACATTGACGATTGTAGCAACCCCGTTGAAGATGTCGGTATTGAGCGGAAGATTAAGCATCCGAATTATAACAGAAGAACTGGCGTGAATGATATTGCCTTGCTGAGGCTCAACAGATCAGTTTCGTATTCTGGTAAGGTCCACTTTGGCTAAAGTACAGCTTTAATTGTTGAGTTTCAGATTATATTCGCCCAATATGTCTTCCAGACGCTGAAACAAGATATGCACGTATTGGAGAGATAATGACTTTAACCGGTTTTGGACGAGTAGCTACTGATAAAAACTATGCAATCATTAAGAAGAGAATCACATCCAGATTGATATCAAATGAACAATGTCGTACGGAGTTTTCAGATATTAAAGATCGCAATCGATACGTTACCGATAATATCATGTGCACCAAAGAGCTTGCAGACAATAAGGATCGTTCGTGCGAAGGAGACTCGGGAGGTCCCCTAATGTTTTCTCATCGTACCCAATGGCATATTGAAGGAATTGCAGTTTGGAGTACAGCCGAATGCTCCATTGACTATCCTTTTGCGTATACAAGGGTGGCTAATTACATTGATTGGATTGAGCGTACTGTGGTGTCCTAATTTAAATACTCTAATTGTAATTTAACTTATTAAAATTTATACCTTTTTGTATTTTGACTGAATGATGAAAAACGGAAAAAGAATTAACACACCAGCCTTGCGTCGTTAGGTAAAAAAACTTTTTGAGTTTGTTTTCTCCTTAGCTAATCTTTTTTCGATTTTTCAGTTTCAGGTGCGTTCGTTTTTTGGTTGCCTCGCCTTGTGTGGGGTTTCGCGGTTTTTTTTATCTCGTTCATTTTTGTAAAATTCTGTTTTACTTTTTTCGTATTTTTGTCTCTTTGCGCCTACAAAGGAAATCTTTACGAGTTGCATACGAGGGATACAAAACCCCTATAATACTCAGGGCTACTTTTGAGAAAACCCAAATGCTATCAGCATCTCGCTTCACAATTGAGTTACAAGTGGTATTCCTCTATTTCAACCCCGTTGAGATTCTGCCTGTTGTCAAGTCTGAAAATGGACCGTAAGGGAAATATATAAGATGGCGTCCAATATAGCGATTTTTGGATTACCCTGGCGTGTTCTCAGTCTAAAATGCCCAATTTTTACAGTTCAAGGATCTGGAGCTGGACCTACGTTTTTGGGATCGAGGAACACGAAGGGTCAAAAATGAAGTCTGAAGTGAAAAACCGCAATTTTTCATATTTGGGGCAAAATGGTCTTAAAAATTCCACCTTTAAGCCATTGTATTGATTGTACCGAAACCACCATCTGGACAATTGGGCAATGAGATAAGCATCCGAACTGGATTTATCCAACATGTTTTACCAGTCAGGCAAAACGATCTTAACTTCTGCGTATTATAAAGTGTATCGTTAAATACCTCTTCAAGGGATAACTTTTAATTGTAATTGTTACCGTAACTTGGTCAGTAAGTTATCGCAGAGACTTGTTATAACTAGACGGCGCGTAACGTAGATTTTACTATAAACGCCTGTTGTCAAGATAGGATAGGCAACCAACTGTTCATCGCGGGGCAAACGTACGTTCTGCAGCTTGCTTTAGCCATGTTTATTCTAAATTTTAGTAACAAAAAAAGATAACATATAGCTGTTAACTGTTTTAATCGAATTTATTGGTATTTTATTTGAACTAAATTGGTATATAACTGCCTTACTCTAGTCCTAATTTGATTTATGTGTGTATTTTGGTGGTGAACACGTATGGAAAAATATACTCTTAAAACTAAAGATGTAGGTAGTAAGATATGATTATTTAGCGGATTTTGATTCAATATATGCCTATTCAAAAACCCAAATGGGCTGTAACTGTTATTTATTTTTCTTAGACTGCTGATAACCATTTTGTTTACAACGCGGTGTGGTGTGGATTGAATGAAAAACCTGAACACATTTTCAGCAATTTGGAAAATTTTTAATACATCGCTTGATACGTGCAACAATCCTCCACGATTTTTTCTAGTTAAAAGCTTTGAATGACTCTCTGATGCGAATATCGCATCTGCACATATGGAACATTTAACAGACTTAGCTATTTTTTTTTGTAGAAAACCTGAAATATACTCAGTACCAGTAAGTACTTATTTACGTCTATACCTAATAGGCAAATTGCCGTTGTCTTGCTGGTAAAGGATGTCGAATAGTTCTACGTTATTTTAAGTGAATGGGAAAGTCGAAAACGCTCGGTATTGCATTATTGTTTAACACCTTCGTAGGTACCTTTCTAAAATCGGCTTCATTCCCCGCAAATGCACTATGGTGGGAGTAAATTTTTCTCTTCGAATGGCTCTGATCCATTGGCCCTTTAAACTTTTATCCGTTGAAAATCAGCATATTATTTAAAAATTTATCGACAGGGTACATGTTGATAGGCAAAAGTTAACCTAAGTTTATTGGTTTATTCTCAACAGAAATTTATCTGTTCACTAATTCGAGCTAATCACGAGAATGATTAATGAATGGAACATCTAAAATAACAGCTTATTTCATTATATTGCATATCATCTCAGCGATTTTTGCCCCGCGGTGCATTGTGTGTTGCATACTGTGTCGACAACACCTTAGATACGTTAAGCGCAGTCTAGTTATAGCAAGTCTCTGAGTTATCGTAATTCCTACCGATGCATAATAGACTTGAAACCACCACTTACTTCTGAAGGGGTTGGCCAATTAAATAGCGCGCCTAGTATAGACGCACATTACGAGTACAGCGAGGCCCTTCAGGCATTAATCAACTAATTGTATACCGAGACCTGCGGCGTGGGAGGTTCTTCTCTTGATTGTTTTCAGATTTAGATGCGAGGACTAAGCTAAGGTAAGAATTTCCTTATGTTTTACTTGTACTTGGCCCTATACGTGCGAATCTTTGCCCGGAGCGTGAATTAATTTGTGAAAAGGTTTTAAAGGTTCAGTAATCAGTGTAATCGATTATTCTCGATTGAGGGTTTGGTAAATTGGGGAATTTACTAAGAGTTGTGTCACGTAAGTCATAGTCATTGAATATTTGTAGCAATGTTTTGTATTTATGTGAGACGTTATCCAACTGTTGTGGACGATTATTATTATTTTTGCTATTGATATTTGGAATAAATCAAGTTGTGACACTTTCTCTGATCCGACATAGTTGGAAGCGTAAAATCTAATGAATGAGACAGATTTATTATAAACAGAGAAAAGATGTGCAACTCAACCGTGTCCTACAAGGCCGAAAAGAACTCACCGCGCCGTAAAACAAGATGCGTGATCAAAATGAAGCCGCAAACGTCATTCGGCAGCATTAAAGAAGAAGAAGAAACAACTCGAAACCAGGTGGTCCACTAAGTCCATCGATTAAATTTAAGGTATAGTCGATCGATTGCAATTAAAGGTCATAGTTTAAACGTATATTACCCAATGCTGGTCTCCAACAACTGAGCATTGTTTCGAGGGTTTCTTCCCAGCTTTTTTCATGAATGCTTCAACGATAGTTTTACCAAAAGTTTGTCTGCCGAAACAATTGATATTTGTCATATTTGTTGTTTAAAACAAATTGAAAAGATCAGGAATCAGTCTTAATACTTCCTTAATTTGGAAAAATCAGCTAACAGTAATTTTTGGCAGCTAAACAATAAAAGACCCACTGCAAGACAGTGCATGACATTTAGCTCGTTCGTTCCCATTTCTGAATGATAACGCAATTGGGTAATTGATGATAGCGTGTCTTTTAATCATACAATTAGTTAGTAAATAAATTAGTGACGTATTATTGTATCCGTAAATCAGTTGCATTGTGAACGATGAAGTGAAACGATGGTTATATGTTTAGTGTTTTTATTTGCAATAGTTCAAGCAAGTATAGGTAGGTATATTATATTGGAGTGCTAATCATAAGCATACCTATACTAAGGGTAGCGGTAGAAAGCATAGGGAAGCTTTGACATTCACTGTGATTGGTTGAAACACGAGTCAGTTTTACACAGAAAAATAAAACGAGTGGCGAATTTTGTAAGCTGGTAGTTTCTGTTGTCGAACTGTCATTAGCTGTTAATGTCAGGGATACAAGCCGTCCAAGCGTGAAGTCGTTTGATTTATTTCTTTTCGCAATGCTGGATATTTCTATTTTACTATAACTGGGTGCCGTTTTGGTTTCTTTAGCTTTAGATTATAATACCTTTTTAAATTCAGTGAGAGTTCCGGCCTTGTTATATAGTGCCACTTTTGTTACTAAATTATGATTTTTTCAGATATCTGCACAACCCCAAACAATGAACCGGCACAATGTAAATCTTTGTACGAATGCGTGCCACTTCTTCAAGGTCTGCTGACCCAAGACCCTAAGGTGGTCGAATTCGTAAACGAGTCGCACTGCGGCAATTTATCAACCGAGCCTCTGGTTTGCTGTGGTTCCTCTTACACCTACATCCATGGGCCAGAGCAAATTGAGCGCATATGCGGTTACCAGCATTCGGATGACTACTTCCGTGTGGATACAGCAGTTGCGGCGATTGACGAATATCCATGGTTGGCAATTTTAAAGTACGAACAAGATCCCGATTTAATCGCCGACGGCAACGATTTTGACGAATTCACCTGCGTGGGTGCTTTGATCGGGTCCAGATATGTACTCACGGCGGCTCACTGCTTGAGGATGCGCACATCCGCTGCGTAAGTAAATAACAGCACACGATCCTCACTTTGTGCAACAGTGTAGGTGTACGCCTTGGGGAGTACAACATAAATGAAGCTCAAGACTGCGTTAAAAGTGGCGTGTTCGAGGTATGTGCCGACCAAGTGCAGGACATAGCGATACAGTCTAAGATAACTCACCCGCAGTACAACAGAAGGTATGGACTAAACGATATCGCTTTGATTAAGCTAAAACACGCTGCGGTGTTCAATGGTACGTTTCTAATTGCAACTTCTTTCCTTGAAGGGTTTGGTTGCAGATTTCGTCAGACCTATATGTCTACCTTCTTCGGATAAGGACCATGCGAAAGTAGGAGAAATCATGCAGTTTTCCGGATTTGGGGAAATTACTCACGATGGGCCGTCTACGGAGGTAAAGAAGAAAGTTCTGGGAGCCTTGCTGAGCAACGAGCAATGTAGCAAATATTATACCAACAGCACGGGATTACAGCGTAGTGTTAACGAAAATTCTATTTGTATGCGAGAATTGCCCGTAAATGGGGTACACTTCTGTGGTGGTGATTCCGGTGGGCCGTTAATGTATTCAAATAAAAAGCGGTGGCATGTGGAGGGAATAGCTGCCTGGGGCGCACAGATTTGCGATGGGAGATATCCTGCGGTTTTTACGAAGGTCTCACAGTATCTCAGTTGGATTATGGGAGTTACTGAAAGTTGACCTTGTATTTTTACTTTAATTCGGAGCAGCGTAATTAGCAATTTTATTATTAAGTATTGTAATTTACATGTAGTTTTACGCGATTATCCGGTATTTTTGTATAGCTAGACTATAACACGCCCTGTATTGTACAAAATATAGAACGTACTGTTTAGTTTTTGAACTTTGAAACATTCGGTAGTCATTTATAGCATAATAAACAAAAATTATGTCAATTTTTAAATTTTACGTGTAAACATTTGCAAGATAAGCGCGCATAAATACATGTAAAACTAGAAATCTCTTTTTTAATTGTTCATCCTATACCCACACTGACGAAGTGTAGGCAAGCACAGTCCATCTTGGAATTGAATGGACCCTTCCCCTTCTACCAATCTTCAAAATGTTAAATTTAAACAAATGGCCAATACTCCGATATTATATCGACCGTCCGGCATAACAATATATCGGCCGATATTGGCCGTATCGGTCGATCCCTACATACGATGACTTTATTCATCAAACACGTCCATTTTTACTTGTTGTTCACTTGTTTTCTTATTTCTACACTACCAATTAAATAAAAGCTAAGGTAATAAATGAAATCCTACGTACATCTCAAATATGCCGATTGCGCTACCGAATGATCTCGACGCCGATTCAGTGGTCTGGTAAGGTCAATTAAATTAGCCATTTGGGCTATAGTTACTGCGACATCCCGTCTCCAGATAGGGTGTGGGTAAAACCCGGACCCGGACCCGGACCCGGACCCGGACTTGGTGGGTAAAACCCGGACCCGGACCCGGAACCGGACTCGGACTTAGTGGATTCTTTCTTTTATATTTTCGTGCATCGTAACATTAAAGCCGTTATGAGGGGCTTGGTAGGGTTCCAAGCATTACTTTTTTCGGTTGGATTGAACCCTTTCTGTGCGTCAAATGCGTTTGGCTCATATTTTCAAAATGCACAAAGAAAGTAGAAATTTGTTTCTTTTGTCAATATTCCTTGTTGTAGTCGCTGTATTAAGTTCTTACACGATGTTTGTATACGCGCTTTAACTTTAGAAGGAATTATTACAGTACGAGGTTGAAATCGTCATAGTATGTTCCAGATCATAAAATAACATCCATATCCCTCCACAAATACAAGAAATGTGAACAAAATTGCGCCAGGCATGCGGGTTGGCACATCTTGGTAGCCGTGTGACATAGTAAACATTTAAATAGGGGAATTTGTACCTAGATTACGGCGCAACAATAATCTTCTATTAAAGAGTTTGTTTTGGAAACCTTCTAGCTTTCCGGAAAACTATAAAAAATAAAAAATAAAGGAAACGGTCAAAAAATGCATGCACATACCCAACTTCCTTTAAACTATTAAAGCGATTTTTCTAAAAATTTTAATGTGGATCCTTCAAATCTAATCTGCCCATGCGCACACCCAACTTTCTTATTTGTAAAGGAATTTCTCTGAAGCGGCAAATAAATAATTTTAATCACAGATGCTTCTAGCAAAGCAAGCATATCTCATATTGTAAAAATCAGATGTGCGCATGCGCATGCTGCGCAATGTCAATTTCCTTATAATATGTAGCGACATTTTTTTGAATTTTTAACCAATGGTTCTTCTACTGCAGGGAACATATCGCATATTTTAAACATCAGGCGTGAGCTTGCGCACGCTGCGCAATGCTAAGTTTCTTATTTATAAGAAAACATATTTTCCTCTACCTACACATAAATAGTCCGTTATATGAATTTTCGGCAAGATCTGATCGTTCATGGAAAATGGACTCAAGTAACTCCCCTTAAGGCGAAAACCGCTTTTTCATTTTTGTTTTCGTTAAATTAGGCTTATCTTTTTCTCGTATAAGTAATACACAAAAAATCACCGACAGTTTTTTTGAACATTACAGACGTTCCCGTAAACCGAGTAGGTATTGGTTTATTGGACATGATACAGTCGATCTCAGTAACTTCCAATAAAATATCGAATTAATATACAGCGACATTCACGCAGCTTGTTCGTTAAAAGTTTTTAAACCTGCAATTGAATAGAAATTGAAATTTGATTTACATTTGACATTTGCCAAAACCTATGACAGATAGGTAGGTACTTAAATTTTAATTGCGTTGAATGCAGAATAAACTAACGCATAGGAAGAAAATAGAAAATGTTACGTTTCTATTAAAAAACACCAAGATAGCACTACTTGCGGGGTATTTATGGAAGGAGCACCATCTTGAAATTATTTTATATTTCAATTCGCAATGGTCGGTTATGGCTGTAAACCAAATTTCAAGTTTCTATTTCAACTACAAGTTTAAAATCTTCTAACGAACGGACTACGTGGATCACCTTGTATGAATAAAATGTAAAGCTACTATAAATTAATTAGATTAAATAGGGTTAGGTGCTCGGTACCTAGGAACTATGTATGAATAAAAATATATTTACTGCGGGGGAAATTTTTTGATCGTACTCGATAAATCGTCGTAAACCTTCCATGACATGTCACATTTTCGACTTATTGCAACAAAATGGTCAATACCACCAAGAACTGTCGGTGATTTTTTGTGTATTACTTATACGAGAAAAAGATAAGCCTAATTTAACGAAAACAAAAATGAAAAAGCGGTTTTCGCCTTAAGGGGAGTTACTTTAGTCCATTTTCCATAAACGATCAGAACTTGCCGAAAATTCATATAACGGACTATTTATGTGTAGGTAGAGGAAAATATGTTTTCTTATAAATAAGAAACTTAGCATTGCGCAGCGTGCGCAAGCTCGCGCCTGATGTTTAAAATATGCGATATGTTCCCTGCAGTAGAAGAACCATTGGTTAAAAATTCAAAAAAATGTCGCTACATATAAGGAAATTGACATTGCGCAGCATGCGCAAGCGCACATCTGATTTTTACAATATGAGATATGCTTGCTTTGCTAGAAGCATCTGTGATTAAAATTATTTATTTGCCGCTTCAGAGAAATTCCTTTACAAATAAGAAAGTTGGGTGTGCGCATGGGCAGATTAGATTTGAAGGATCCACATTAAAATTTTTAGAAAAATCGCTTTAATAGTTTAAAGGAAGTTGGGTATGTGCATGCATTTTTTGACCGTTTCCTTTATTTTTCATTTTTTATAGTTTTCCGGAAAGCTAGAAGGTTTCCAAAACAAACTCTTTAATTGAAGATTATTGTTGCGCCGTAATCTAGGTACAAATTCCCCTATTTAAATGTTTACTATGTCACACGACTACCAAGATGTGCCAACCCGCATGCCTGGCGCAATTTTGTTCATATTTCTTGTATTTGTGGAGGGATATGGATGTTATTTTATGATCTGGAACATACTATGACGATTTCAACCTCGTACTGTAATAATTCCTTCTAAAGTTAAAGCGCGTATACAAACATCGTGTAAGAACTTAATACAGCGACTACAACAAGGAATATTGACAAAAGAAACAAATTTCTACTTTCTTTGTGCATTTTGAAAATATGAGCCAAACGCATTTGACGCACAGAAAGGGTTCAATCCAACCGAAAAAAGTAATGCTTGGAACCCTACCAAGCCCCTTATAACGGATTTAATGTTACGATACACGAAAATATAAAAGAAAGAATCCACTAAGTCCGAGTCCGGGTCCGGGTCCGGGTTTTACCTACCAAGTCCGGGTCCGGGTCCGGGTCCGAGTTTTACCCACCAAGTCCGGGTCCGGGTCCGGGTCCGGGTCCGGGTCCGGGTTTTACCCACACCCTCTCCAGATATCCTAAACCAATATTATGAAATAATGCTCTATAGAAATGAAAAGGACAATCTTCACTTCAATTCCAACAAATGCGTATAAATTTATTCTTACAATTCCACTAATTTTATTAGAAAATCGGCCCTCTAAATTTCGACACTCTTAATTTTTCTTCTATGCCTAACCGGGTTCTTGAACGTCTATAAAATTCGAAAAAATAAATCCAAATTCAGAGCTACCGTTACAGCTTAGTGTGCTTTCATCGAATATACAGATGGTGTCTGCATTCGACGGTACGAGATTTTGTAAAGAAGTGCATTACAAAGTGGGTAGTAGGCTTAGATGAGTCATCAAAAACCGAGAACAGATTAATATCTGATTTAATGTACGTTTTTTATTAGAAATATTGAATAGAAGGCTCAACAAAGTTATTGAGGCGAATATAGAAGAGGAACAGTTAATTTTCAGAAAAGGAATGGGCACGAGAGACGCAATAGGAGTGGTGAGGACAGATATTTGGAAAAAGAAAAAAAAACCTTCTGTATTTGTTCACATTCTAAAGGCATTCCATTGGATAAACTGGGAGAAACTGTTGGAACTACTAAAGAGGAAAGGGGCCAACTGGAGAGAAAGCAGACTAAACGAAAGTTATATATGAAACAAAACAAAATAGACGAATATGTTTGATTTCAGACGATAAGTTAGACAGGAATGCTGTTTATCACCGATTATATTTAATTGATATGTAGAAGACATGGCGGAAGTATGTTGGAAAAAGGGTGAAATATGAAATGAACATCGGAGGGAAGAGGATTGTTAGTATACCATTTTCTGATGACATTCTTAAAGGGGAAATGAACTTGTTATAGAAGATAGATGAATTGAAATGACCTAAAGTTAATAAAAACAAAACAAAAATTATAAAAGTGAGAGTGCAGGATAATATAACAGTAATGGTAGATGCGGCGAGGATAGACGCAAGTGAAAAGCCATAAGTTTTTGGGGTACAGAAATAAGACAAGGTTGGAAAAGCGAAAGAGAAATTAAAACAGGATAGCGATGACAAACCAAGCATTTAATAATAAGAGGATTGTATGCAGTAAGATGAAAATTCAGTTAAGAAACAGATTGGTAACATATGTTTTGTATGGAGTGTTGTAATGTACAGTAATGAAACGTGGGCAGCAATGAAAACAGATCAGGAAAGGTTGGAAGCTTTTGAAATTTGGATATGGTGAAGAATGATGAAAATCAAAAGGACTGATAAGATAAGTAATGTGGAAGTAGAATTGGAGAGAACAAATGTTAAAGATCATAAAGTGGAGGAAAATGAGCTGGATTGGACATGTACTAAGAAGAACTGTTTTTTGAAGGAAGTAATCGAGGGAACTGTTCAAGGAGAAAGGAAAAGAGGAACAAGAAGAAGGCAATTGATTGAAGACTTGAGGAAAGGAGAAGGAAGGGATAAAAGAAGAAGAATGTTTTCCTATTTTTCTCGATTTCATTTCCCACAAATTCGTAAATATTTCTACAAAGTTTTGGTGATTTGTGAATGTTGAATTCCTTTCAGTGGACTGATTGAAATGAATATTTTCAGATTTCCAAGAGGAGTATCCCATCAGTTGATGTGTGCCATTTAAGAAATTCGAGTAGCCTGGGTATGGGGAAAACGTCAGTAAGGTGACGCGGAGTGTGTTTTTCTTCCACATTTTGTTACGTGTATTTTTTTAAATGTATAATTTAGGGCCCCGCTTTACTAAGGCGAAAACAGCGACGCCGCCATTTTTAGGACCGAACTCGTACACAATTTGCGACAAGAAGGAATGTTTTAGTACGTATCTTTGCGAATAACGCGTTTCTAATTTTTCGCGTTCTTACAGAAAACCGCACCCCATTCTTAAGCAGCAGCGTCCGTAAAACCACAGCAACTTACCCCGTTTACACGCACGCCATTTACCACCCCGAAGAGTACAACCGTCGAAGAATTAAGGTAGAGAACTATTTCTGAAATGACTCTCAATAAGGTTGTTATGACAGGGAGGTGCGAGCGTAAATTACACAGCTAAGCGATTAAAATACTCTGAAGAGGATTCACCAGGACCTTGTGATTATGAACTGGAGGTGACCGAATTTCCTCGGCAGGTTGGAGTAGGCAAGCTGTATTTGTGTAGAGTGCCCTATTCATTAACAGCGAAAGGACCATCGGTTCCTTCCCATTTAGACGAAAACGGTTACGATATCGACAACCACGGCAACCTCATTAAGATACCACCCAACATCTACGATACAAGTAGAGGTCCTGCGAAGTACAACGTGCCCCGAGTACGTTAATCTATACAGTGGACGATGTCCTGCAGCACGATTTTTTAGGGAGAAATTTGTTACACGACTAACAAGTATCATAAAGGCAGTTGGTGGTCCAAAAGTAACATTGTAAGATTTCCAAAGCAAGTATCTGCGACACCGGGTGTCGGCGCCTATAACATACAAGGAGATTGCGCGTGTGAAGAAAATGAAGGCTACCGCGAGATGGCTCGACTATTCTCCTTCCTGCCGCGCTTTACAGAAGCTGAAATGCTACGCGTCGCACGCGAGGTTATCCCGGCAGATGTCAGCGTCGTAACTGAAAAGCGATTTTACAGGATACTCCCGGTCCAGGTTCCTATAATGCTGATACGTCGTCGTTTACCCGCAAGGATTCGCTGAGCGTCGCTCCAGTGCCTTTCATATCCGGCGCTAAGCGTTTGGGTAGTAATTTAAAATCGGAATCACCGGCGCCGGGGGAATACGAAGTGCAGAATTGTCCAGCGGGTCGGAGAGATTTTTCAAAAAGGCAATATATCGGTGTTCAAGCCGGAAGGCCAACTGTTGGGAAACAGCAAGACTATCCAGGTAAGTTTTCGCATAATACAAAATTCATTTTTCCAAAAATATCGTAAGGCTAAGGGTTCATTATTCCACAATATAGCGATTCTTACTTTTTCAATAATTACGTTCGTTATACAGTAATTTCGGACTTGTAGTTCAAATTGAGATTCCTTCTTTGGAAACGGTCACATCATAAGTACAAGAATACATTTCCGTGATACCAATTCAAGACCGACACGTTTAAGGCACCTTTCATTGCCACAATCAATTAATATTACTTATTAAGCAACTTGCGACACCTTTTGTAATTTATTCCCTCTAAATAACTTAAGACTCAATTTCTAGGGGGTTTAAGGTAGTAATAAATAAATTGTGCCAAAAAGAAAGAAGAAATATTTCGGTGCATCTCGACGATTCTTTATGATCTTGTGAATGCTGAATTAGAATTTCCACATTTCTAATTAAGCTACCAGGACATAGTGAAAGTTAGAACTGCAAAAGATGGCTAAAATATACTCTATGTAGCCAATTTTGTCGCTTGTTACCATTTTACCGTGTGTACCAAAAGATTGAGGATCGTTTGAATTTTGCGCGTACAATTCTAATGTTTTCTACAGCATTGAATTGGCTGTACCAATTCTCGATTGGAGACTGATGCCAGTAGAATTTTAAAAATTTGGCTCACACTTTTTTTTTAATTTTAAATGGCATGGCCTAGTTTTGATTCGTTTTTCAAATCTTTGTTAAAGCATGAAAAAAATTGATACACAATGCGTCCCAAGAGTCCTGTTATAAGTTTCAAACGAGTGAAGAGAAAAATATGAAAAATCGAGATCAATAAAGGGTCATAAACATCTTAGATGGTATAAATCTTTCAGATACTGGTGAGTTTGTTTAGGGGGGGGATTAGCCCCAAAGTTTTAACGTGACCTCTATCGAGTTTAACCTAATTGTAAAGAACAAAAGCAACGCCTAAGTCTTTCTAAATTACCTTTAACATAAGGTGAAACTTGTCATCGGGTGCAATTTCAAAATCTTGGGGTTATTACCCCCTAAAAAACTCCCCAGTGTATGAAATTTTTAAACCATCTAAAATTTATTGATCCTGACATTTTCAGATTTTATGTTAACTCGTTTGAAAATCCTGCATGAATGTTAGCGTACGTTCTCCATTTTGAAAATAGGAAAACGCACACCTCTTTTTTTAAGAATGAATTATTCTGCTAAGAGATAAGAGGAAAGTGCTCAGAAAATCATGTCAAAGTTCTCAATTCTGAAGGTGCGAAAATCTAATTTTTTAAATAAGAAACCATCTTCTTGTTTTTTAGGAATGAGTTATTGTAGTAAGGAAAATAAGAGCACACCTATGCAAGGTGTATAATTTTGTCCACGATCGAGAACCATAAGAGCTATATGAGGTCGGTTAAATTAGGAAACAATTCACACATTAATACTTCGATTATTAATTCTGTTTTACAAACTGCCAAAAAACAAAAAAAGTTTGATGCTTATTATATCTTGATATAGAGAAAGCCTATGATAGTATTGGCCATAATCATTTACGAGCAACTCTCGAATCATTACTAATACCAAAAAAATTACGCCAAGTTATCCTCAATTTACAAGAACATAATACCACACAGATTAAAACAATTAAAGGAAAAACTAAGAAGATTAAGTTAGAACGAGGAGTAATGCATGGTTCTCCACTGTCACCAACACTATGCAATCTTTGTGTTGATCATATTTTCGATGGGTAAACCGAAGATTTCGTTTCAAATCAACTTGGTTTTAAAATTATTGATCAAGCTCCACCTATTAGTGCCTTAATTAGGATTTGCTGATGAACAGTATTGATTGGGAAATCAAAAGAATCCGCTATGATATTATATGAAACAGCGCTATTCATCTATTTTGTGAAATTGGATTGAATTTAAATGTTAAGAACACCAAAATTATAATTATTATCAAAGGCAAATTGTTGAAGAAGAGATTAACTTAAATGGATTATTAATTAAATCCCTGAACAAAAATGAAACTATAAACTATTTAGGAGTCAATTTTAATAACGAGATTACCTTTAATCCACTAGAAATCTTTAAAAAATTGGGAACAATGCTTTGATACCGTTATTTCTCATCCTTTTCTTAAGGATATTCAAAAGTTAATAATTCTGAATTCCTATATTTGGCTCACTTTAACATATAACTTCCAAACTGCTCCATTAATTATGTTGCACATGACATTGACAAAATGGTTCGCTGTGCTTTAAAAGAAATTTTAGACCTTCCTTCTGACTTACCAAATCGATTGATATATTGAATCAAAAAATAAAAAACGGTCTCCAATTATTTTGCGCTGGTTGGGAGGCTTATTTACAACACATTAATAACGGGCGATCAAAAATGAGTTGCTGTCGAGTCGCCTTTGGAAGTTTAAGTTAAATACGATTTCCCATGTAAACAAAAGTTCCAAAGGTGACTCGACAGCAACTCATTTTTGATCGCATAGTATATGTAATCGTCTGCAACTTTCTAATGAAGAAATCATTATAAAAACAAGAAATTATGTTTGAAAAATCTTAATTTAATGGGTGAAAGTCTTCCTGAACAAGCAAAATATATAAGATCCCTTTTACAAGATCGAGAATACATTAATTGGGCTAAATTGACACATAAGGGTAGAGGTGTAATCCTTTTCAAGGACTACCCTCCAGCGAATAATATTCTAGATCGCTCTGGACTTTCTTCTCCAAAAGATTTATGGTTCAACAACGACCTTCTTCAAAGAATCTTATGGATCTTATTACTCGCGGAACAATTACCACTTTTTTCAAAGAATTTTCCCACACTTTTGGATTACAATCAAAATTGTTAAAATTAATAGCAATAACTACTAACTTTTAAATACCAGTAAAACCCCCGGATACGATCTAATAAGTGCCCGCACATTGAAAGAACTTCCCAGGAAAATCATAGTAGCTCTGACAAAAATCTTTAACGCTGTATTACGAATCCAGTATTTTCCAATCCAATGCAAGTTTGGACAGATCATACTTATACCAAAACCGGGAAAGGCCTCCCCAGGAAGCTGCATCTTACCGACCAATAACACTTCTGTCATGCTTATCTAAACTACTAGAAAAGTTAATATTAAAACGCCTTAAGCCATTAATCCACGAAGACATTACTCCAGACCATCAGTTTGGCTTTCGAGAAAAGCACTCGACAGTAGAACAAGTTCATCGAATTGTCAAGATAATAGGAAATGACTTAGAAGAGAAACGGATATGCTCAGCAGTATTCCTGGACATCAAGCAGGCGTTCGACACTGTATGGCACATCGGTCTGTTGCACAAAATCAAAAAACATCTTCCTCATCAATATTACCTGCTTCTCAAATCATACCTCTCGGAGAGATATTTCCAAGTTAAACAAGATCAAGAGTTGTCGGAATACTACTTAATACAAGCCGGAGTGCCCCAAGGAAGCATTATGGGTCCCATACTGTATCAGCTCTATACTGCGGACATACCAACCACCGAAAATACAGTAACTGCCACATTCGCAGACGATACGGCAATTTTGGCATCGCATAGAGACCCTTTGGAGACAACTAATAGGTTACAAAGCGCTTTAAATCAAATAAACACCTGGACTGAGAAGTGGAGAGTTAAAATAAATGAAACTAAGTCAGCTCATGTAACATTCACCTTGCGACATATCGATACTCCTAACGTACATTTAAACGGAGTTATAATTCCAAAACAGGAAAAAGTTAAATATCTAGGTATTCACTTGGATCGACGCCTCACATGGAAAAACCATATCATTGCTAAAAGAAACGAAATCAATATAAAATTGAAAAGGATGTACTGGTTACTGGGAAGAAGATCAACACTCACCATTAACAACAAACTACTACTGTACAAAGTAATGATCATTCCTATATGGACATATGGCATCATGCTGTGGGGTTGTGCCAAAGCAAGTAACATAAACATAATTCAACGTACTCAAAATAAAGCCCTAAGAACCATCGCCGACGCTCCATGGTATATCAGAAATGAGACGTTACATAACGACTTAAACATAACAACAGTCAAAGAAGAGATAAGGAAACGCACTGAGAACTACATCGCACGACTACATCGGCACCCAAACCCATTAGCTATCAACCTTTTGTTAGATGAGGAGCCCAACAACCGAAGACTACAGATAAACCATGTGTTAGATAATGTGTAAAAATTTTAAAATTGTTAGGGAGTAGCTCCAGTGGGAGCAACCCCATTCAAGTCAGAATCTTTCACAACTTTTGCTTGTTGGCCTAAAAGGCTAGTTGTAAATTAATTGTTTCAGTAAAAAAAAACATATTAAGAAATCATTTATATAATTAATTTGTTTTTTTTTTCATGTTCAAATTTGTATTGTATCCATTGTTTCACAGCAACCCAGAATGTTGGGAAGGTGTAATTTATATAAGAAATTTCTAAATATATACAAGACTACTACTTTAATGAGCACGAAAAACATCAGTGGTCCACAAACTGTGAATACCAACTTTGTTATTTTAACACGACGATTTCTTTTACTCGGTGCTATTAGGCTAGTAGTAGTAGTGTAATGAAAATGACTTTTGGTAACAAGTTCACCTGCTGTACCGGAAAATATAGTTATTTAGGAGATAAGATCTTAAAAAACCGCCATATAAAATATATATCTTTCATTTTTATCACACACTGATAATAATTTGTTACCAAATTTAACTTCATTCACAAGGAAGATCGATTTGGCCGTTTAGTTTCGAACGTATACAATTTTAAAATTCGAGCAACTTTAGTTTCTTCAGACTTCAATTTCTTTGTTTACTTATTTACGCGTACCGTCCTATTTTAGTTTGGGGATTCTTCCATTTTTTTCGGATGTTTCATTTTCAAATTCTGGATTTTTCTCAGATCTTCAGATTCTATTCTTTGGATGAGATTAATTCCATTCTTTAACATTTCTCCATTTTTCAGTATCTACAGACGCTTCCAATGCGAAAAATTCTTTAAATTCTTATCTATTAACAACCTTCGAATTCTTGACGTCTTTTAGTTTTTTAGATCCTTCAAATCCGTATTCGGATTTATCACAGCGTGCGCATTACAGATTTACCCTGTAAGGGTTTAGTTCTATCATTGAGTAATTTTAATCCTTCACCCAACGGTTCTATGAGAACGTACAGAGTTTTAAGATTCTTTCGTTTCTTATAGTAGGGGAGCTAGCCCGAAATCCACTGAACGAGAATGATCAAAATTTCAACCGATGGAGTTCCATTTTGCCCTATCCGAGTATGCTAAAATCGACCGTCTGCCGCCTCAGGTCATATTACTTAAGGCGCTGCGGGTACTTCTTGCGGTACCAATTCTAAAAGGTTATTTTTCGAAAAAATAAGTTATACACCTAATGCAAACGTCTATAAGCTCTTGAAAAAAATTTTAAAAAATCGCGAACATTTGATAACTCCGTAAAAAACAATTTTTAGGTTTTTCACGAACTTTCTACGGATATAACTAGGTTACGGTTGGATAAATGAAGCAGATTTTTTTTACAGACTAATAGTAGGTACCGCCCATGACTATAACAGTGTTTCTTTTTTAAATTTTTTCTCTAATTATAAGATATTTTATAATGATAAGATAATAAGATAACCTTACCCCAGTTTGTGAATAAAGTACATAGTTCAAAGGACCATTATCTAATAAGAAAAGTTTGATTTGCGAGAAATCAGTTTCCGCATCGTTTTCCGCAAGCACGCCATTATAACTGAACTAATTGTAATTTGTATTTTGTGTTCGGGATCAAACAGTAAATCCGAAGATATCGACATTCTTTTTAATGCGCTTACCGTCTAGTGATGAGTAAGCGGTTTACTTTCCAGCAATTTGTAAAAATTACCCACTCAGTGAGTAAGCATTTCAAATAACTGGACCGTGCAATGAGATACTATTTTGGGCATACTGAGCTCTTGACATCTTTTTAGGTCCTGCCACTTACAACGTTCTCGGCCCAATTGACGAAAAAATAAGAGCCAAAAGCAATAAGTACTGTTGCGTCGATGTACCGTTCTATGCGTTGGCAGAAAGAAAAATGGGGTTCGTACACAAAGACGCTCCTCACCTTCCAGCACCAGGAGATTACGATCTCGAAAAGATGGAAATGACAAAAGAATATGAGGGCGGACCATGCTTCAAATCGAAATCGAAAAGGTTTACGAGCATCACAGAGATCGTGAGTACATTATACGAACTTCCCCACGTTTCACCTCTATGTAAATTTCCATATAATTACCCTTACAAATTTGAAACGGAAAACTAATTTACCAAGTAGTGATTACAGAGTTTAGTCGAACATTTATTTTTCATCTGTAATCGCGAGCTTCGCTCGATTTATGCATTTGATACGTTACTATTCCGTAACTTCGCTGTGTAAATTGTGTTAATTATTAAGGTATACTTCAAAGCGAAGTTATACCTACACGTCAAACTTTAACGTATCGGGTTAATTTTTAATGTTCCGCATCAGTTATAGCTTCCATTTTGACTGCGGCAACACGTAAAAATTTCGTTAATTATCCATCTAATGGCAAAGATTAGTTTTTGCTCGAATTGGGCATTAAAAACTACCGCTATAATAATTTCAAAGTGATCTACCCGCACAATGTATAATTAGCAATTTTATTAAAAAAGATGGGAGCTTGCAAAAGCGTAGGATTATTAACCGGTGTACAACAGGATTTAGAGTCTTCATTATTGTTTAATATTAGAAATTAGAGACGTTCATCGTAAGAAATTCCTCAAGTTCATATATGCAGAAAATATATACAGGGTGTTCATTTGAAAACTTCCCACCACGGATTTATCGAAAACCACTGATTAAATGAAAAAACGCCGAGACAGTCAAAAGATTTGTTAATGGGGACAATTTTTTAACTTCACCCCCTTTCACCCTTTGGCCCCAGGGTCATTCCCTTAAGAGTTTTAAATGACAAGTGGTATCGAGTAAGACAGGTCTTTCGAAGTCCTTTATTTTGACGTTTGATTTTTTAAATTCTTAATTTTCAGAAGTTTTATAGATTTATATTGCTTCTGCTATAAAATAAAGTCTAGTATTATAAACGTTAAAACATCCCTTTATGGTCTTGTGTCTTGTGCCAACAAGTATTAAAACGAACAATGTACAAATTGTTTTTTGTTTTGTTTCACAAACTGGCGCTTTATCCAAGCATCCCACACTATCTTACATCCTGTCTTATTTGATATGTGTAAATACCGTGGGATTGGTATGATAGGCGACTGACTCTAGACCGATCATTTGTTTGCCGAAAATTAATAAATGTTCCATTTTGGGCTGCTCCTTTTTGAACTATAGCTCTGCTCGAATGGCGTCATCTACTACAATTTCCTACTGATCCTCTGTTTATGATATAATTTACACATAATATCGCTTCTCTCCATACACCCTTATTATACAGGGTCACTACTAAAGATGGAACGGAAGCTCTCACGCTCAAACGGTTTATAGAGATATAGACATGAAAATTAAAACCCTGCTATTTGAAATTATTTCACATTTAGAGGTTAAAAAGCTACTCAAACACCCGCTATAAGAAAAAATTCTTTTTAACCTCAAAATATGTGAAATAATTTAAAATGGAAGCGTAAAATGAAACAACTCTTTTTGGACAAATGTTTCGAAAGGAATGTTATCGTTTTGTCCGCCCGCCTGGCCGTTTGTCTGTTGCTCGTCTAACTGAACAACGAATGAGACAGGGTTGTGAAACCTTCCCCAATCGAGTTCTACGTGTTCAAGGATCAGCGCTATTGAATATGAGCCGGACTGAAAGTCGTGTTTCAGAATGCGAGTACAAGTAATAACTTCAATGAGTAGTTGTGGGAATAAATCGTCCTAGGGGCTTGTAGGAGTACAAGACTAGTCATAGGTACTAATTGTTCTGAATATGATCGTTCTTTTAAAGAAAATCCCTGAGTTGAGTACAAACATATTCTTCTATTATTGATTCTGCTGTTATTTTGTCTTTATCTTGATCTCATCTTTTCAGTGTTTTCAAAAATGGTATCTTGTGGTTTGGGCTGTGAATCAATAGTAGGTATACTTTAGTACTGGGTTCTTGTATTTAATGTTCATTGCGAAACAATGAAAAACCTGCATATAAAGGGAGATCAAAAAGGATTGACGTCGAGTCGCCTTTGGAAGTTCAAGTTAAATGTGATTTTCCGTGTAAACAAAAATTGCAAAGGTGACTCGACAGCAACTCTTTTTTGATCGCATAGTACCATGTCTTTAGTTTACGTTCTGCTATAGGCGCTGTTTACGCAAAACTGGTTCATCCTAATAGTAAATCTCTTGTTATTTTGCAAATTTTTTCCGCCCTGATGTAATACGTTTAATCCCAATAGGGGTCCTTCATCATGTATACAAGCGAGTTACCGGCGAAGACCATGTGTACAAAAGATCTTTGGTTATTTGCCGAATGCGTCACCCTGAAAATGATCTGAAAGGGTATATTTTATTTTGCAAGTTAAACCGACTAAAACGGAAGATGTGCAATGAATAGCGCATAAAGTTTTACTTAAGCAATAAAATACGGCCATTATTTTGTAAATGAAAATTCCCCCAGTAAATACGCAAGTTTGTTTAACGATTGGCAAAGCGTGATTTGCACCATTTATAGAATGCCTATACAGTTTTCGGAACGCTCTAACGCAAACACTTGTTAAATGACCGTTGAGGCTAAATAGGTCTGATAATTAATACAGACGCGTAATTAAAATGTACATTCGATATCGATTTGCGCGTCAGTATTTTAGAAACAAGCGCGACTATTCATTATTTATAATTCATAGTGGAAACTATCGAGAGTACCATAAATTAAGCTCGTAATTATGGTTAAGGCAGAGCTAATTAATTTTGGCCGGACATATAAATTAGACAATTTCTTATCGACGTTGTGCAGCTTCCTTGTCTTATTTTCAAAGTTTATCGAACCTAACATCTATCGATTGGGGGAAGACGTTATTGTGCCGAAAGAAGCTAGCGACCTTTCAGTAAGACCGTTTCCTTTGTTGGGCTTCGGGGCATTATGGCAATTTGTTGATTAATCTCGCTTTCTGCGTTAATTTCCTTTTCGATCGATTGCGTCACCTTCAAAAGTGACAAAATCTATTAGATCGCTGAAAACAATTGCTTTCAAGCGCCCTAAAGCAATTGAAACATAACTACCGAAAACTTGAAGCCTGCTATAACTTTAGCCGTTATAAAGCCATATAATCTAGCGGGTAGTTGGCGACCCGCCGAGCTACAGGGGAAAGATTTAGGGGTGTAAATAACAAACAAGTAGCTAACTGACAGTGTCGTACTAGTATTTGCCGCTATTTACACAGAGCGTCTAGATAATTGAAATATATTGTCTAAAGCTTGATTGTTTGCCCGCCTAGTGGTCTGATCGTTTTGCATGACGTTTACTAAGCACTTTACTTCAATCCCCTTTGATTCATGTTTATGGTTAACTTTTAGTCCCGTTTACGCCACATGTAGATCTCCTTTCATAATGCGTCGTCGCCATAGCTACAATTTCTCATTTGCAATTGTAGTATTTGCTTTAAATTAAAACGAGGAAACCGCTTGTTTCCAAGCTGTTAGTGTTACTGCATAGATCTAGGATAGCAAATTTAACGTTTCCCTCGTCACATACTTTAATGTTTCTAAATCTACGCGAAATGTTACCATTTATTCGTAGCATCGCAATACACAGCGTTTTTAAATAACTAAACTACATTTCAAAAAATCGCTACCAGTTCATGCATTTAAACGTTGATTAATTCAGTACCCATCACGAAGAACAAAAGTTACTGTCACGAGAGTGTTTACCCTTACCATACTTAAGCGGGGTATTTCTAGTTTGCCCCTAAAAAAAAGGTCAAACACTACAACGTGGCGAAGAATTTAAATTTTTAATAGGCGAATCTTCCAGCGAAATTCGCCCAGACTATTGCTATAGTTCCGCATCATATTCCAGGACTATTCTTTTTCAAATAAGTAAAAAATAAAATTTTTAACGTTGAGGTGCCAACTTGGAACGACGATCTCTTGTCATTTCTAAAATCATTGATTTTTTTGATTGGCACCCAATAGTTTTACAGTGCTAAACACTGAATTTAATAAATGTTTACCTCAAATAATCACAGTCCAAGGGGTGCCAACTTCCACACCTATCTTATAAATCTCGATTTTTGTTGATTCCACAATAGTCTCGAATTCAAAAAAAACTTTTACCGAAAATCGTCCTGAAACCTTCATTTTCATGCCTACATTCTGTCAGGAAATTTTAGTTTCCATGACAGAGGCACAGAGCAGACTACGTTTCCTGCCGCTTGTCACTTTACTGGCCTAACCTGTCACTTTATCGGCCACACCGTCACTTGACCGGCCGCGTTTGTGACATATGTAAATGTTTATAATGACTCCTGTCATCACTGACAGATTGACATTAATCAAAAGTTCTATATAAAAATTGAAATTTTATATTAAAATACGCTTTTGGGTAAAATTTTATACAAAACTCGTCACTAAAATGACAATACTTGACTCGGAAATTAAAGTACTCGGCCTCGTCCTTCAATATTTCCTCGCCAGTAATGTATCACTTTCCTGACTTATGTAAATAACTATTACATCACAAACAAGACCCGAACAATTCATATCTTCGGTAAATTGAGGTTCTACGTGTAAACCCCCAATAGTTCGTATCAATGTGTTGGTTAATGTGTTTGTGACAGCTTGGAACTGATTTATTGAGCTTTTCGCGCATTTTAGAAAAGATAAAGGTAATTTTTTCTAGTTTTAATCAGCAAGAAAAAATGTTTTTATTTTCGTAGAAATGTATGGAGCCTGGTGCGGGGTTAGATAAGAAAATTTGATATACGTGCCAATTTGCGTGTCGACGGTAAGTCAAGGGCTTATTGGTTTATTTGGTTACTATGTATTTGTAATTGGTTGGTGATTCTGTGAACAAAGTAAGTAGGTTTGCTGTCAGGAGAAGTAATTTTTTTCAGTAAAAATTGTCGAAGCCAAGTTTGCAGTCGTTTGAAGAAGTTCTTGTTGCCAGTTTTCAGAACTAAGTTATGTTCCTGTTTTAATAAAAAAAAAGTTTTGGTCGGTTCGAGGCCGGCTATGCAGTCTTTTTAGAAGAAAGTCGTTTTATTGTGGTT